GAAAATCATTGAGAATATATTGGATTGCAAAAAGAACATAATACCAGAAAACGTTAAATTAGTCTGTACTTTACAAGCAATAATAATGGCCACAGTGGAACTTAAGTATTTTAGCAAAGATTTTCATTTCCAAACACAGGAAAAATTAACTCTTTAAATTTAAGAACTTAAAAATTTGAAATAAAAGGCAAAAAGCTAAATAAAATGTTGAACCAAAAAAGTTATACATGAATTAAAGAATTAAAGGTTGAGGCTAATTTGGAATATTGAAACTTTTACTGTAAGATTTTGGAAATCATTACATAAAATAAACAGTTTTCTGTGGGAACCAGAATTATGTTATCAACTATAGGTGACAACAAAGATTAGACACTTTATATTTTTAATTGGACACTGGAGGGAAAGATTCCAGGCAAAAAGAAAAACAAAACCTGTCTTTGATTTTGATTAGGATTGGGATTTGTAAAATGACACAAAATGCTGTGATATTTGAAATGTTAAAGGAGATCCTTGGAGCCAAAAATTAATAGTTACAATATCAGCAGTGTCAGTAATGATGTCTGTTTCTATGGATAGACTATGTTTAAAGGATATTAATGAAGGAATGACAGAAATGAAATAAATTGTGTTTGATGAAGAAACAGTGGAGTCAGAAATATGGGGGGGGGGGGGGAAGTATAGTAAATACCAAGAAAATATTTAAAGTGGAAATACAAGTGCCAAGGGCATGATCTTGATAAGGACTCTTTACTGGATATAGAAAAGAAAATGGCTAAAGATTTTAAAATGAAAGAGGAAATACAAATGATGATCAAGTTAATTACCTGCATAATGTCTTTTCATTGATTTTACAAAAGAGGCTTGTTAAACCTCAAAGAAACTTATGTGACGGGACAAAGAAAAATCAAAGAGAAAACAAATTCTATGACAATATTGAATTAAAGATTAAGATTTTCAGAGGTAAAAGGAAGGAATATAAAGTTAGCTTATTTGATCACGGTTAAAAAAGACATGAAATTTAATGAAGTTTAATTAAATTCTGGCAACTCTTTATAGTCTTTATTCTGGTACTTTTTAATATTTGTGATGAAGATTGGAAGTCAGTTTTTATATATTTCTTTTATTTCTCTTTATTTCATTATTTCCTTTTCTTCTTTTTTTGCTTTTTTCTTTGCACTTTTTATTTTCTTTTCTCTGAGTTTAGTATTCATTTTTATTACATATATATATATACATAATCCAGGCCAAAAATAATTTCAGGATATATCAGAAAAGTATTGGTTTTGGAAATAATTTGCATTATCATATGTGTCTCCCACCCTTTATTTTTTGGTGTGGTAATTAAAGGCTGAGAATTCTTAAATTTCATTAACCCAATTTTTAATGTCTATGATAGAGGTAAATGTTTCCCTATCCAGTTGTGTTCAACTCTAGGAGTCAATACTCAACTCCATTTCTTAAATGAGGGAGCCAGATTTATCCAAAGAGTGGTACCTATTTTTCTACTCACATTTTCATGCTTTCGAACTGCTAGTTAGGCAGGAGCTGGGGTGAGGAGCAGGAGCTCACTCCATCGTGTGGTGCCCCCTTCCAACTTTATTATTATTATTATTATTATTATTATTATTATTATTATTATTATTATTATTATTATTATTATTCTATTCTATTCTATTCTATTCTATTCTATTCTATTCTATTCTATATTGCAGCCCCACCAGATCATATACTTTTAATATTATGCGATTTATATACATTAACTATATTATATATTTTATATGCGGTTGAAGACAATTCCTCTTCACTCAATGCGACCCAGGCAAGCCTAAAGGTTAAACAAGCTGCACTAGATCAAATCAGCTTTATTGCAGCAGGTGAGAGCAACCTGAGAGCAATTGTTTTTAATCTCAATTGTGGATGATATGCAAACGAAAATAGGTTGTGCTGTTCAAGGGGACAGTATTATAACTTGTAGTTTAAATCTAGATGTTTTAGTATAATAATAGAAAGAAAGAGTGTCTCATTACCATTAATAATTGAAGCAATATTTAATATTATTTCTTTTCTTTTCTTTTCTTTTCTTTTTTCTTTTCTTTTCTTTCTTTTTTTTTTTGCTGAATTGAAACCGTAACCCTAACATAACCAAATTAGTGGTTGACTCTTGAATTAGAATAATAAGTTGAAGAAGGCTGAACTAGACCCTTACAAGAGCTGTCAAAAATATCTGTTCCAGCTATGTTCCACCTATGCAACAAAAATTAAATTGTAGACTTTTGTAAATATTTGAAGATGCAGAAGTGGCAATGAAAAACAGGGAGTATAAAGACACACTCACAAACATACACACTAAAGTAATTACACATTCCACCGAAAGAATTCTTTGCAGAACTAATATAGTTTCAATGGGATAGAAGAGTGAGTGGCATGATCGATTGATTTAACTAATGGTGATGATGTGACAACAGAAGTTTAACATTCCTGCAATTCAATATTTTGTCTTTAAACTAGCTACTAAGTCTATTAAATATTGACTGTATGAAGATATCTATGTGTGCAAATAATTTTTTTTATCAAGAATCCCCTGTATTACATTTAGTTTGGCTATAAATTTGTCCTATGGGCATTTATTCATCTACCATAATTCCTTCTTCTATTCTCTTAGCAGTCATACACATCAGATTCCATTACCCTATACTTCATATTGCATTCACATGCAAAAAAACCTGCAGAATATCAGTGTCACATAATCGTTTATAATCTGTTGCTTTTATTTTAACTGTAAGATATGAACTATGACCAGGTTTTGCTAGAAACTGTAACTGATTTGCACATTACAGTAAGATAGGGTTCAAATACTGCCACACTGTGGTCAATTTACTGGCTAATTTGAGCAAAAGTTAGTAGCTATAAAATGGAATAGCGAGTGACCAGGATAACAATAAGTAAACAAGGAACTACTAATAGGACATATTATAAATCTGAATGAAATAATTACAAGGAACAATGAAAAGAATTCTGTAGAACTTATAAAAAGACAATGAATTAACTTAATTTTTCCTGTACATAGGAATAAAGTATTACCCACTCATTTTCTCTTCAACAAGTTTAATTAGTGAACTGATTTTACTCATAATAGTAGACTTTGAAGAATAATGTTGAAACTTCCTAATTAAGTTTAGTGTTTTGAGGGAAAAAAACAGACCATACAATTGCATGCATAGAGAACACTTAAAATCTAATCTGCTTTCTTTCGTAAGTGATCTGCAATGTTTTTCCAAGTACTTTCTCAGGGTTATGCAAAACATATATATACAGTATATATTAGATTCACAGGACCAGCAGAGAGTGGTAATAAATAATTACTAAATAAATGATTTGTTTTGTCTTGTCTTATTCAAGAGCCATTATGACATGTTACTATAATAATGCCTAAGACGTTGTTCATGAGTATCTTCAAAATAGACATTCCTCTCTGGCCATACTGGGTAATTTAAAGGGCTATAGCTAACTTTTGAGTATTAAAATTGCAAAACCATTTTAATGCTTCAGTTAGTCTGATCTAATAATTAGACAGAGTCACCAAAAAAGAAATAAAACCCAAAGCTGGAAGTGATGAAATAAGAGTTTTTGATGGTGGAAATCATGCTACTTTTTCAGTAAAATATTAATTTTAGTCCCTGGCAAGGAATGCTTTTGTAAGTGGATCAATGAGCAAGCACCAACACAGAAGCCCCCAAACCATCCATGAATAACTGTAGCATTTTCTCTTTTTTGTTTGTTATGTTGGGATGGGAACGCCAAAAGTTGCTATGTATCTTCTCTCCATGCACACTCATACACACCAATTTATTTCACTGCTCCAGCAGACAGAGTAATTCAGGAGGAGAGAGGGAGAATTTGTATCTCTGCTGAGAACACAGCACCATCTCTGGTTATGCTAGCCAGCTCCTTCCTTTCTCTAGAAGCCACTAATAACCAGTGTCCTACTAGCTGACTATAGGTCTATTACTTTAGGAAAGGACAAATAGATTTTGTTTAGCATGACTTTCTCAAGAAGAGAAAAAGTGGTAGAAATGAAAAAAGAAATGAAAAAGCCAATTCAGAATAGGAAAGAAGAGATGCAGAACACTACCAATATCCTCTGGATGATACCAAAGGATTCTGAGAGATACCTCCTAAATATTCTTCTCTATTTTTTAAAAATATTCTGTTTTTATCTCTCCCCACCACCCCCTTCACATTTCCTAATAATTCAATATTATACATATTCACTACTTAATTTGAAAGTTCGAAGGATGAGTATGACTACAGATTTCCCCTGGTCTTCTCTTGGAAGAGCTTCTCTTCCCTGTAATTATACACCATTACCCCTCACTCTGCTGACTCCACTCCCTGGGAAAGGTCAGTGGGGTGCCTGGTTTGTTAGGTCCCTTTAAAAGCTCCCCTTAATACTTTACTTCCAAAAGAGGGGGGAAAGCAAGCCGCTTCTCCCCCCCCACTCTTCCTTCTTTCGGATCCAACATCTCCTCTTGCACCCCACCCACTTCACCTACCACTCTTTCCCTACGGAAGATTCTCCGTCACTCCCAGTGTATGTAACGGGGTCCTTCCAGTGTCTATATAGACCAAGGCTCCAAATGCCTCTTTCCAGGAGGCGGCGGCACTTAATCCTCCCCCCCACCATCCATGCCTTCTTTGGCATTGGTTGAATGGTCTCGTCCTTCAGCCTGGCCGGAGAAATGGCACTTCCTCCCCCCTCGGTTTCTTTTCCTTCTTTTTGCCCTCCTTCTTCCTGCCCCGCGACCATTTCTTGCAACTTGGACCAGTGTGCAAAGAAGGTAAATGAAAGGGGGTGGGGGAGGCCATTCCATCCCCTGAGGAGTGGGAAATAGGAGGGAGGAAGGGAGAGAGAGAGACCACCGAGGGAACCACCCCCACCATCCCGAGCCACCCAAAAGCCGGCTGAAATGCCTTCGCTCCCGCCGCTCAGCGAGTCCTACCTGCTCTTGCGATGGACCCTGGCCTCCCCTGTTGCCTGGGTTAGACTGCGCCTGCTGCTGCTCCTTCATGGCTGTCATTGTCCGGGGTGACGGGGGGGGGGGAGGCGGACGGCACTTCCTTTGACGGCTGGCCCTGCAGGAGGAGAGCCCCTTCTCTCGGCCGCCGTTACATGTCACAAGCCTTCCCCTTCGTCGCCAGCCCGAGCAAAGCCTAAGGGGCCAGCGACTTGGAGGCAAACCGGGCAACGAAGAATCACCCGCCCGGCAGAAACGGGGACGGGACTAGCCTGCGACGCGCTCGCCAGGCTACCGCAATCCTCCTCAGGCTGAAGCCACTGGGGTGGGGGGGAGAGAAAGGAGCGCGCCCAAAAGGCTGGGAGAGCTCCGATTAACGAGCGCGCGGCAACCTGGAGCCGGCAGCCACTTGGGACTCGGGAGGGCTCCCCGCGCAGGCACGCTCTGGCATTACTGCAGTGTGGGTGCCCTCAAGAGCGGCGGCGGGCTGGACAGAGAACCCCGGGAGAAGCGCGTCCCTCGGAGGAAGCGGGGAGAAAAAGAAAGGAGGCGGGAAGCCCAAGCGCGCGGTCTCTTCTCCCGCGGCAGCTGTACTCCGCAGCCCTGCGCCGTAAGCTCCGCGGCTGGAGCTGAGGAACGAGGAGCGCAGCGCTGCTCCTCAGACGGCACATTCGCTTTCCCTCCTCAGCTGGAATGGACCATTCAGATTCTCTGGCACGGGGGGCGGGGGAGGGGGCAAAGACGCTGCCGTGAATAGAGTAGATGGTGCCGTCGCCTACCTGGCTGCTTGTACTGCTTCCCTAAAAACCGCGACGCCGCCAATGCCACCAACGCCAACACCCCCTCCTCCTGACCTCGCGATTTGCCAAGAATTCAATCTGGGGTCGCTCAGTTGAAATTTTCACCTCGGAGCGGACGAGGCGGCTTGTGTGGTATTGGGATGGCGGAGCGAGCAAGGAAGAGGGAGGCAATCGTGTCCCGGGCGAGGTGGAGGGTTTGGCTTGGCGAGGAACTGTCCAAACCACGAATTAGCCACTCGTGCGCGCACCTAGGCGCACTCGCAGGCAGGGGAAGAAAACTGGCTTAAGTTGCACACCGGCTTGGCTTTGGCGTGGCAAACGACGAGCGAGAAGCTCATGAGCGATTCAGCGTTTCAGGAAGAAAGAAAGAAAGAAAAAGGCTTCGTTTCTGCCATTCCTTTATTCAGAACACACACAACGTAATAAACGCTGTTCTTTTCCCCTCAGACGGAGATTGTTTTCAGGGTGGGGTCAGAAAGAGAAAGGGAGAAAAGGCTAAATGTTCTATCCTCGAGTGCCCAATGGGTTGTAATTCTGAGGCCAAATTCATTTTAAGTAAGAAGCAAAATTTGAAGTTATACACTTTGAAAGCCTTTGAAATTCTCTTAGGGATGGGCAAGTTTTGAAACATCCCCCCACCCCTTCCATTTTCAACTGTAGCAATGACAACTGATGAAAAATGAAGTAGGGACTATATATATATTGTTAGTTTATTTGGGCAAATGATCTTTGTTAGCCAAAATTGTGTTCATGAGGGTTTCTTTCAGGACATAACTTCGAGGTACTCAGAGGTGGATTTCAGCAGGTTATGACCAGTTCTGGAGAACCGGTAGCAGAAATGTTGAGTAGTTCAGAGAACCCGTAGTAAAAATTCTGACTGGCCCCACCCCTATCTATTTTCTGCCTCCCAAGTCCCAGCTGATCAGAAGGAAATGGGGATTTTGCAGTAACCTTCCCCTGCCAAGCCCGCCAAGCCACGCCCACATAACCAGTAGTAAAAATTTTTGAAACCCACCACTGCAAGGTACATGATTCACACAATAACAAAGTTTAAAAGGAAATCAGCTGGGAAATCACATAGCTGGTTCTAAGATCCACATGAAAAGAAGAAAAAAAAAGCAAGGTAGAAGTGTAATTCATTTTAAAGAATTGCTTTTTTACTCCCTTTCTGAAAATTCTGCAAATTTGGTTAAAATAATCTTGCATGGTTTTTTTCTCTCCAAATGATATGCTATGAACAGCTGATGTTTACAAACTTTTTGAGTATTCAACATCTGTTATATTATGGGACAGTTGTAACCTTGCATACAATGAGATAACTACCTCGGGAAGCAAAACACCAAATTTGGTTATAAAAATAGTTTGTAAAGCCAAAAAGGCAGTGGTTTTTTGCCTTTGGAACTTTGATAGACCTTGGATACTTTGATTTGATTTAGGATAGAATAAGATCACATTTTATTTCAGAAAATAAAATCCCAAGGCTAGTTTTGATCAGACTCATTTTAACCTCATATGATCAGACTCAGTTTCATATGATGAGACATATTTCTTTTAAAAAAACTCATATTCTTAAAGATATGAAAAGTCTCATTTCAATTTAATCCAATCTACAGCTATGCTTGCAATATTACAGGATCAAAATTTAACCAGACCTCTGAGGATCTCAAGCATTTCTATCAGAATTAGCTATACTCTATTCAGTCTTCTACTTTATACACTAACTCAAATGTACAATAGGGAAACTTAAAAAAAGATTTCTAAAGAAAGCAGTCTGCCTAACCATGATTCCTAGAAATTTGTCATACTTTTCCAAATCTTGGTTTGGAGATCACAATAAGCATCATTCACAAGGAAAAGGGGATCAGTAGCTGATGTATTTTAACTGATGAGTTTAAGAATAGTATCCACGGTAGTGAGTTAAATGCCAGCAAGATTGCAGAAAGAGGGAAGAATTAAAACTTCCTGAGCATATAAAACTACATGCCAACTACAACTGGGCATGTATAGAAACCTATACAACTTTATCTATGGATGGATGGATGGTAAATCAGTAAATGTTTATTGATGTAAGTATGGAAAAGGAACAGGGAAAGGGAGAAAAATTAGCTGAGTCATAAAGGCTTTGTGGTCCAACTCGGCATATAAGACACTTCTTATGATTTTTTTATACAACAAGCAATGTCAACATTGCAATATCATTTCCAGGGAGTAATTCACAGTAGCAAATTTCTCATACCTCCACTTCCCTGCAACTTATAAGCAGCAATAAAGCAATGAACCAAGTTGAGTTAAGCATGTCTAGCTACAGAATGGGACAACTTGCCACAGCCAACTCGCTGATGCCAACTCACCATGGCCAACTCACCACAGCCAACTTGTTGTGGCCAGTTCACCATGGCCAACTCGCCATGAGACTACTTGCTGTGGGACAATTTAACAATTCTATTTAATTATTTAAAATAAATAAAAAATATTTTAATTTTTGCAATTCATGTTTAATTCTGTCCCTCCCTCCTTTCTGCATCCTTTCTTTAATGATGCTATTCCACGTAATAGCCGGGATGGCGGTTGATACCCCGAGGCTTACGGTCATGGGGGATTTCAACCTGCCATCCATCGGTGAAACATCTGAGGCAGCTCGGGAGTTCATGGCTTCCATGACGGCTATGGACCTGACCCAATTAGTTCATGGCCCAACTCACACAGGGGGGCACACGCTGGACTTGGTTTTTGTCTCTGGTCAGTGGCTGAATGGCCTGGATATAGGGGATGTAGTGATTGAGCCCTTGTCATGGTCAGATCATTCTCTCCTTCGACTCGATCTTCAGACTGCTACAACCACTGCAGGGAGGCGGAACCGACCAGATGGTTCTGCCCCAGGTGCCTGATGGACCCTGATAGGTTCTGGATGGAGCTTGGGCCATTTCCTGAGGTTCTGGCTCACGACCTGACTGAAGACCTGGTGGCTGCCTGGGATAGGGCAGCTGCTGGAGCTTTGGACCGTGTCGTGCCTTTGCAGCCTCTGACCCTACGCCGATCTCACTTGGCTCCCTGGTTTTCCGAGGAGCTGAGGGAGATGAAGCACCAGAAAAGACGCCTGGAGAGCGGTTGGAGAGCTAGCCTTTCCGAATCCGACCGAACACTGGTGAGGTTTCATATTAAGACCTACCTAGTGGCGATAAAAGTGGAAAAATTTTATTATTTTTCCACTCTTATCACGTCTGCAGATAACCGCCCAGCCGCCCTGTTTAGAGTGACCCGCTCCCTGCTCCATCCGGGACCACGGCAAGACCCCTTGCAGGGCAGAGCTGAGGATTTTATGCAGTATCTGCACGATAAAGTCGCTCAAATTCAGAAAGGACTGGACTCCAACTGGGTAGATTTGGGGGGGGGGTAGATGAGGGCGAATAGTCTTGAGAATGTTATCTGGGAGGAGTTTGACCCTGTGGCTCCCGAGGACGTGGATAGGATTCTGGGTAGGCTTAGCGCGGCCACATGTTTATTGGACCCGTGTCCCTCCTGGTTGGTGCTGGCTTCCCGGGAGGTTACACATGGCTGGCTCCAGAGGATTATCAATGCTTCTTTGAGTGAGGGTTATTTTCCCGCTGCCTTGAAAGAGGCGGTGGTGAGGCCCCTCCTAAAGAAGCCCTCCCTGGACCTGGCCGTTTTAGCAAATTATCGTCCAGTCTCCAACCTTCGCTTTGTGGCGAAGTGTTGAGAGTGTGGTGGCCTGACAACTTCCCCAGTACCTGGATGTTGCGATCTATCTAGATCTGCTCCAGTTGGGTTTCAGGCCTGGGTACAGCACGGAAACGGCATTGGTCGCATTGGTTGATGATCTCTGGAGGGCTCGGGACAGGGGTTGTTCTTCTGTCCTGGTCCTTTTAGATCTCTCAGCAGCTTTTGATACTATTGACCATGGTATCATGCTGCGCCAGTTAGAGGGGTTGGGAGTGGGGGGGGCACTGTGCTGCGGTGGTTCTCCTCCTTTCTCTCTGACCGGTCGCAGTTTGTGTTGGCAGGGGGACAGAGGTCGACCTCGAGGCACCTTATGTGTGGGGTGCCGCAAGGGTTGGTCCTCTCGCCCCTCCTGTTCAACATTTATGTGAAGCTGCTGGGTGAGATCATCCGTGGTTTCGGGGTGCAGTTCCATCAGTAAGCTGATGACACTCAGCTGTACATTTCCACCCCAAACCACCCCAATGATGCCCTTGCCATGATGTCCCAGTGCCTGGAAGCCTTGCGGACCTGGATGGGGAGAAACAGGCTCAGGCTCAACCCTGCCAAGACCGAGTGGCTGTGCCTTCCGGCGTCCCGATATAGGCAGCTGGTGCCATCGCAACTTGGGTGTCCTCCTGGAAGCATGGCTGTCCTTGGAAAAACATGTGGTGGCCGTGCCAGGGTGGCATTTTATCAGGTTCGCCTGATCTGCCAGTTGCGGCTGTTTCTGGATCAGGACTCCTTATGCACGGTAACTCATGCCCTCGTCACCTCCCGTCTGGACTACTGCAATGCTCTCTACATGGGGCTCCCCTTGAAGAGCACCCGGAGGCTCCAACTGATCCAGAATGCAGCCGCGCGGGTGATTGCGGGAGTGACATGGTGCTCTCATGTAACACCTCTCCTGCGCGAACTGCACTGGCTTCCAGTGGTCTTCCGGGTGCAATTCAAGGTGCTGGTTACCACCTTTAGAGCTCTCCATGGCTTAGGACCCGGGTATCTCCTCTCGCCTGGACTACTGCAACGCTCTCTACATGGGGCTCCCCTTGAAGAGCACCCGGAGGCTCCAACTGGTCCAGAATGCGGCCACGTGGGTAATTACGGGAGCTGCATGGCGCTCCCACATAACACCGCTCCTGCATGAGCTGCACTGGCTCCCAGTGGTCTTCCGAGTGCGCTTCAAGGTGTTGGTTACCACCTTTAAAGCGCTCCATGGCATAGGACCTAGTTATCTT